TGTGCTCAAGAAAAATATCATAGCCAACGCCAGTTACGAGAAATAAATGAACTGTAGGTTTCTTAACAGAACGAGGCGCTCTTGTTTCTTAATCGTTCTTAATTAATGATGGTTTGTTTGTGTTATTATCTCTGCAATCTGAGTCTTGATTTATCGGTAGTAGCGATAATTTCACTACCGGCCTTTTCAGGTAACCATTTTTGGTTTTCATTATGACCACTCTCACTCGCTCATCAGAATCGGGATGTAGTTCGACGACGCGACCCATCGCCCACCGTCCTGGAGGTAAGTTGTATTCGTGAACTAGCACGACGTCGTTGATCTTGATATTTCTTTGTTCCCTTTGCCATTTGCCACATTTAGTTGAGTGTTCAAAAGAAGTATTTGGGCACCCATACCCAGTAAATTGAGGATGGATGTATGGATTGTACTCATACATAGGCTGCACTAAAAGTATCGGGAATGGAATATTTCCACTGTTCCTGTCATATTCAAATCTTTTTAATTGAAAAGTGCTTGGTTTTTTAAAATTGAATACCATTTATTTATTTAAAAAAAGATTCTCGGTCTTGTCACAAGGTTTTGTCAAACTTGTTTAGTCGTTGAAAAAATGGAATTGACTCGAGAAAATTCAAGAGCTATGATTTATTATGACTTTCGAAGTGGTTTAACACAAAAACAGTGTTTTGACCGGATGATTTCTGCATTTGGTGATGAAGCCCCATCCAAAACCACAAGTTATCGCTGGTTTGCTGAATTTCAACGTGGACGTGTCAAGCTCAGTGATGATCCCCGTCAAGGTCGTCCAAAAACTGCAGTCACCCAAGAAAACGTTGATAGCTGTGCGTAAGCTGATTAAGGAAGATCGACATATGACATACCGCGAAATTCAGGCAACTTTAAACATTGCCATGAGTCAAATACAAATAATCTTGCATGAACAATTAGGCGTAAAAAAGTTGTTTTCCCAATGGATACCGCATTCGCTCTGTGAAGAGCAAAAAGCAGCTCGCGTTACTTGGTGCGTCAGAACTCTCGAAAGATTCCACGCAGGATCCTCAAATGCTGTATACAACATCGTATCAGGTGACGAATCCTGGATATACGCGTACGAACCCGAAACACAGTGGTAGAGCCACGCGGCAGCTTTTGCTGTCGCACGGATGGGCCGGCTCGAACCGGGGTGGTACCACGACCTCACAGAAAACCAGCGTGAAGTAGAGGTTTACCTCTGCGTTTCGCTTGGTGAGTGCAGGTGGCCGGAGGCCCTTTTTACTGGAAATGAGGCATTCCATCTTAGTCCTCACGGGTGACAACGTATCTACATTTTGATTTGTAACAGAGGATAGTTGTAGATGTCTATGGGCCGCAGCAAACACTTACCATCAGGTGGACTGTGTGCTCGTTTGTCACCCTTATCCTATAAAAAAAAAAAAACAAAAAACCAATAACGAGTTTGGGTGTTCGAAAATGAGTTAAAGCCAACAAAAATTGTTCGTTCAAGGAGTGTTGCAAAAAAAATGGTGGCCACGTTTGTCTCCAAAACCGGCCTATTCTTCTTGAGGATAGATGTTACGACTATTCCTCTTGAGGGACAAAGAACGGTTAATGCAGAATGGTATGCTAGCATTTGTTTGCCACAGGTCGTTTCTGAACCCCGTAAAGAGAACTGCAACCGCCGCATCATCCTCCATCACGACCATGCGAGTTCTCACACCGCACACAGAACAAAAGAGTTTTTAGAGCAAGAAAACATAGAATTATTAGACCATCCGCCGTACAGCTCCGACCTAAGCCCTAATGATTTCTATACTTTCCCTAAAATAAAGAATAAGTTGCGTGGACAGAGATTTTCATCACCTGAAGAAGCTGTGGACGCCTACAAAACGGCCATTTTGGAGACCCCAACTTCCGAATGGAATGGTTGCTTCAATGATTGGTTCCATCGTATGGAAAAATGTGTCAAATTTCGCGGAGAATACTTCGAAAAGCAATAAATACATTTTTAAATAGTAATGTTGTGTCACTTCCTTGATTCCCGAAATTTTCAGTGCCGCCCTCGTATTTTCCTATTCTTGAATCAATTGTATTTGTACCTGTGATTTTAACGGTTCTGGTATTTGTTTATCGCTATTTTAATAAAGATAAAATAAACATTTTATCACAATCTTGGCTTTCTTCTTGACGAGCTTTGATACTCTGCTGTAATATTGCTGTAAGGTTACCCAGTTCTTGTGGCATCTCTTCTGTTTCTGCTAGACTTGTATTGGTTTTATTAATATCTAAATTGGCATTAAAAATTTAATTGATCAAAGAAAATATATGACGATTTACGCTTAGCAGCTGAACCGCTTTTGGCGCCCTTGCGTATTCTTAACTCTCTAATAAAATTGTCTCTTATATTCCATTTTTTTGAAGGGTTAATGCTGCAACAATTAATATTTTTATTAAAATAAAACTATTTTACGGATTATTTCGCGTTTTTTTAATAAATCGTGAAATAATCAGTAAAATAGTTTTATTTTACTGTATACTGTTCTCGTAAATAGAAGACAATATTTTTTGTTACAAATATTTAGCACGTGGGTGTTCATTTGCAGAAATAAGTCATAAATTTTGAATAGGCCACACTACAGCACGGGAAATTGTGTATGTTTGTATTAAAATATGGCAGCTTATGAAACACATCGCGTTTCCTGAACTAGATGAGTCAAAATGAATGGAAGTGGCTGGAGGTTTAAAAAAAAACACAATTTCATAATTGCATGGGAGCCATTGACGGAAAGCATATCGAATTAATAAACCCTGCGAATTCTGGCTCGCTATACTTTAATTACAAAAACTATTTCTCACGATATGTGATGCCGATTATAAATTTATTTATGTAGAAATAGGGGCCTATGGAAAATGCAGTGATTCCAGTATTTTTAAAGAGTCAAAATTCTACAAAAGGCTTATGGATAACCGTAAAATAACTGGTTAAAAACCTATAGAAGAAAATGGCCCAGCCATGCCATTTCGCGATGAAGCTTTTCCCTTGACAAAAAATATAATGAGACCATACCCTTGCAAGAGTTTAACCAACAGAAGAAAGTCTTTAACTACAGGCTGTCCCGTGCACGTCGATATATAGAATGCAGTTTTGGGATATTGTCAAACAAATGGAGAATTTTTCATCGTTCTATCAATGTAGTAACTGAGTTTACAATTGCTATAGTCCAAGCACGTTGCATCCTCCATAATATCGTGCGTTATAACGATGGATACAGATTTGAAAATTCGTTGTATATAAGTTGTATTACTGAATCTGAAATACCTTCTGCATAAATTGTAGGCGCTAACAGAACCAATTCAATACAGGAATAATTTCGCAGATTACTATATTAATGCAGGAAAGCTTACGTGGCGAGATAGGCTGGTTTTCACATCATAAATAAGATAAACCTTTCATGCTACCTATACGCCCGTATTTTAAATTGAATGAGTAAAATATTAATATTATTTTGTTACAAAAATAAAATACCTAAGTACTCGCATGTAGCAGACTTATTGAATAAATAGGTAAACTAGGTACTAAAACAATAATAAGTTATTAAAAATATTTACCAAGTTCTCCTTTTTCTATCAAATTTTCCCAACCAAATATATTATTAGTCAGTTCCAACCATAATTGCCTTTTTAAATTTTTTTCCGAATAATCATCCGATGACTGGTCCCATAAGGCTGTTCTGTTTTGTATTTCTAAAATTAAACGTTCAATATCAAACGACATCCTGTATACACAAAAAACGTGCGGTCGCTGTGACAAGTGTGCGCACAATGCGTTATTTTCATACAAAATGGCGTATCTCGTTGGTCGCGGCGGCCAAGTGCCCGCGTGTGACTCGCGATGTTTTTCTTGGTCGCGCGGCTAGAACGTGGCCGATAACCGCTGGCTGCATAATGCACCCAGTTACATATATAACGGAAGAATAAGTTGGCTGCAGCGACCTGGTCGCGCGACCTGGCCGCCTAATGCGCGGGAGCACTTATATTTCAACATGTTCTATCCAAAATCATGCCACAAACGTGCCGGGCAATTTACAAATGTCTGAGACATTACATCAAGGTAAGAAAAAATAAAGTTACAAGATTTGATTGTATTTAATTTATTTTTTTAATTATTTTTTGAAAAAAAAAATTATGAACTCTTTCATATTTCCCGGACTCTCTTTTACAGTATTTATCATAGACAGTGAGTCTTCGTTAACCCGGCGAGAATGTGGTGAAAATAATTACATGGAGGTTGCGGAGGGTATCTATGACCCTGTATTTTAATTGCATTGTTTTCGAAATTGTTTGATTTTTTTGTGACTTTTACATAATAATGAAAGGAAATAGGCATTTCTTTTACCATGTAAATAAAAATAAACATCAATATTGGTACAAAACTTAGTTATTATTCACACTTTTATAATACTTAAAAATCAAACAAGTTTTTTCAACACTTACGTACATAAAACAACGTAACATAGAATATAAGTAAAAAAACAAACTAACTAAGATAATTTGGTAATCAACAATAAGATCAATCAGTTTCACATAAAATAAAATAAAAAAACTTATAGTTACTCAATATTATTGTCAGTTATTGCAGCACATTCTTGGCAAAAAGAAACTGTGTGTTCTGGACAAATGTACTTATGACAATCTTCACAGACATTGCTCGTCTTTCGATGTCTGGCATAAGGACACACTTGGCACCTTTTTCGTACACCTGGGACCCTTACAGGCGTCTCCTGAGCAGATTCTCCTCCAAATTCTCTCATTCTTTTACGTAGCTGGCTGGACAACTGAGGTATTTCTTTACGAGCACTCATATGTTCGGCTACCATCATACGGCCCAAAGTTTTGATAAAATTACGGCGTTTTTGAGTTGAATTTGTATTACATTTGAATACAATATTTGCATTGATCCCTGCCATATTCAAAATTGCATAGAACACAGTCAGAGGCCATTTTTAGGAGTTGCGGCTTACATCATAAGTTGCGGACAACTCATCTACAACGTCTACTCCTCCTTTAGTGGAGTTATAGAATGTGTTTATTTCTGGTTTTTTTCTCTCTCCAGTAGTTTCGTCAATATCAGCGTCGTGATGGAGACTTGAAATGAGCAGAACAACTTTTTTCTTCTTTGGTATGTAGGATACCAGAGTTATATCTTTTTGAAAGCCGAACTTCGATGAATAAACATCTGCATCACGATCGCTCGTTTTCAAGAACTTGTTCGGGAGTACTCTCTTGTTTTTCCGCACTGTGCCCACAGAAGTCAGCTTGTGCTCGTTGAGTAGATGTGACACAAGTTCATAACTGGTAAACCAGTTGTCAAAAGTAACATTCCGCCCAGTTTTTGAAATGGGAAGCACTAGACGATTCACTACGTCAAAAGGTTTATTGTTTACGGAAAATGGTCCTTCTGGCTGCTTTCCTGCATAAATTTCGAGGTTGAAAATGTAAAAATTTTGCGCGTCAACCATTGCTAAGACCTTTATGCCATATTTTGCAGGCTTGGTTGGTATGTATTGTCTAAATTTGCACCTTCCTCTAAATGCCAGCAACATTTCGTCAATGGTGACATATTCGCCCAAGACGTATGATTTCTTACAGTTCTCAACGAACAGCTCGAATATTTCACGTATAGGAGCTAAGTTGTCCAATAGTTTTCTCTCTTCACGCGTAGATTTATCATCAAAACGGAGACAGCTCTGAATAAAATGAAATCGTTGACGTGACATTGTCAACCGAAATATTTCGACTCCTGTACCATCGGAAGCCCACAGATCTGCAGTATTTTGCCTTCCAGAGCGATAAAATCCGGCAATATACAATAAACCGATGAAAGCCTTCAATTCACTCATTTCTAATTCTATCATGAAGTGAGGAAGGTTTTCACGACTAGCATTTCTCTCTCGAATTTGTAGATTTGTGTGAGTCAGGATAATGGAAATCATATTTTCGGGACAAAACAAGCTCCAACATTCAAGTTCTGACTGTGCTAATCTTGCTTCTGCGCTCACACCAGGTGTTTGTCTGATATATATATATTCTGAGCGCGTCCGAACTTGCCGTGAAGGCGGATTTTTGAACCACTTGGAGCCATCTTTACCTGTATAAAACGAATCCCTCACCTGGGCATCTAATTCCTCTTCTTCAAGCAGAATTTGATTCTGGCTTCGCAAGCTCGATATCGGAACGTCATCTTCGCTGTCATATTCACTGCTTATGTTCTGCTCAGTATCACTACCGCAACTGCGTACACTCAAATGATCTTCATTTTCACTGCTTTCTAACAGGAACTCATTTTCGCTGTCTGATTCCATCAATTTTTGACGTATCCACTCATCTCGATTTTCTTGCCGACTCATTTTAATCAAAAATACCTACAAAGACAACAATATTCAAATAAAACAAAAATAAAAAATCGTAAAAAAAAATGTTACGTCGCGATTGTCGCGGGGTCATATTCACCCTTATTCGCTTTGCGCACGTCCAACTCCCATCGCAGGCGACGGCCGACTAAATAGAGGCGTGCGGGGTGCGCTGTGGTCTATTCGTGACAGCTACTGAGACATTCGAAAACGTGCGCCCGCGCGAAATATAAAATCTAGCCGATTTAAATTTGTTAGGGTCAAACTGACCCCTCCACATTCTCGCCGGGTTAAATGTATTTTCCTCTGGAAAATGCTGTAAAAAGTCTTGAGGAGAATTAAGCATTATTATTTCATCAAATATTAGTGGTTGACCAGAAAGTTGCGGTAACTGAGATGGAATCTCAACTCGAGTATCATCGATAGCGATAGTTTTCGAGATGAGTCGTGTACTTGCACTTGAATTTGCGTGTTTGTTATGATGAACGCTCTGATGGCAGTGATGAATAGTTTGTTTGGTGATGAGCGTTTGAAATGGCGGACGAGATGGTGATGGCTGTGGTAAATAGTGTATTTGGTGATGAGCGTTTGAGGATGGCGGACGAGATGGTGATGGCTGTGATGAATAGTGTATTTGTTGATGAGCGTTTAGAGGATGGCGGACGAGATGGTGATGGCGGTGGTGAATAGTTTGCTTGTTGTAGATTTTGCGATAGCAATGGTGGCTGCGATGAAAATATTTAAATAAAAATAATATATTACAGTTATTACGTGTGATTTCATTGGAAAGTTCAACGTGTGACTCTTCAGAGAGTCTATTAAATTTGGCATAAAATATAACGTCAGATATTAATTTCTGACATATCGTTAATTGTTTTTTATCTAAATCATTTCCAGGCAATCGCTTTTCTGAATATATCCCGTTCTTCTTCATTTCGGTCCATCATTTTCTCAGCCCTTTCAAAAAGTTTTTCTTCTTTTAGACCAGCGTATCTTGTTTCTTCCTTTTCAGTGTACTGCTGTTTTTAGATATTGATACATTTGAAGTATCATCATCAGATGACAGTAAAATTCTTATCCGAAGGTAGAGCAGAATTTCAAGATAGGATGTTAAATAAGGTTCCAACATAGGTTTAAACCTTAACATTGTATTAGATAATTATTAAATAAACTTTTGTGAAAATGTATCTATGTAACATTTCATAATTATAATACTTAAATAAATAGATAAAATAATATTAAATATTAAACATTGACATCTTTATCTTACCTCATTATCTAAAGAATCCTGCACTAGATTCCGTTCTATATCCAGCGCCTCGAAGTGTCTCAGAGACGGTTCGTACAGATCCTCTGCTCCAGCACCTGTATGCTTCGATGGCAATAACTAAAATTACATTGTTATCAATGTTGTGTAATTGCTAATAACGCTAAACACATTATAAAACCAAATTCATTATACTTCAATTTTTCGCTATAAAAAACTTAAGGCAAAAAATAATATGACGTGGGGACAAGTGGAACTAAATATTTTACTAAACGGAAACCTATAATGTTAACACTATGCCGACAAGGGCTAGATTTTGAGCATCGTTTATTGTTTCACATTTATTTTTAACGATTGATAACTAAATGAGATAGTGGAGCCCTCATTTTTACTAAACTCTTTTTTGCCAAGCTCTACCTATACTAGCGAATTAAAAACCTCGTTGTTAGGTGGTTATGTATGGACCTAAAAAGGAAAAGACGGAACTTCGTTGCTCGTCAGTCTGTCAAGACCCGTTTTCTTAGGAACGACTAGAGGTACTAACTTTAAATTAATTTATTATATACGTAGGTTTAAGGTCCCTTGGAGCTCTAAAAAATAAAGCAAGTCAATGCAATAAAAAAATACGACCATATTTGTGATATAATTTTGATTCTCGCAAATAAATAAAAACCAATAGGGTACTTCCCGTTTACCTAGAATCATAAAATTTGGAAAGTAGCAAGGTCTCACAGCACAAGTAAAGGAAAAACCGACCGGTATCAAGTAAGGACTTACATTTTGCGGTCATATTATGACCGATATCAGGAGAGGGGTTAAATAACTAATAAAATATGAAGTATAATTTTTGTACGCCATAAATGGCAAAACATGTAGCTCGTTTTAAGTTTTTTTTAACACCTTTATATTTTTACTCATGTTTTACAAAATAAATATCTTTATCTTTATCTTTGAGTGATATTTTTATTACAAGTAATTTTTTATTAATATTAACAATAACTGTAAATAAAATAATATTTAATAATTTGAAATTATTTTTCTAGTTATTTCTTATCATTGAATTTTATGTATTTATTTGAATTATCAAGATTATGTATTGTAACGCCGTCGTTGATATTTATGTTCGAAAGAGACCCTTGCTCAGATAATTGTCCTTGAGTTACGTATGGTTGGCGATCTCGTGGGTATAATTTAATCATATTTGGAGACTGCATAAAAGTTAGTTGATAAGTTTGGTATTCTGGGTACGAGTATAATGATACGATTTTAGGTTGAACACATATGCTTGAATTAGTATTTAAAAGGCCCATCCTACCTTTATAAAGAACTTCGGAGTAAATTTTTTTGCGATGATGCTTTGTAACTCTTCCATCAGCTCGAAGTCATGAGTAACGCTGTCCCTGAATGCTTGTTCTTTATAGCGCTGCTGCAGTTCTTTGGTGACGATGTCAAAATATCTAACTTTTTTGTGATAGTATGTACATTGCAAGGATGGCGCGTCCGAGGAAGTACTTGGACTGGGAGGCTCAGGAAAATAAAAATATGTCAATAAGTATTTGCTTTCATTACAGTTTCCTTCGACTACTGAGGATTGGCTGGAAGTTGCACGTAGTTTACCTACTGTTCACTGTACCTAACTAGCTACCCACAATTTAGTATAAAACATGAATAATAATATTAATAAAGACTCACACAATGCCAGCATAAAATAGCAGTTTAATGCTGCTGTGTTTCGAATGGTGAGTGTAGAGAACCGGAGACTTATTTTACTGAAAAAGAGGCTTCTATCTTAGTCCTCACTTTAAGACGCAAACGAAGATTATTGTAGATGTCTATGAGCCACAGCAACCACTTACTATCAGGTGGACTGTATGCTCGTTTGTCACCCAAATTCTATAAAAAAGAATCAAGACTTACCAACGAGTCATCTGTTCAATAATTAGGCGGCAAGCTTATGGAAGACATTCCAGCTCGAGCTTCCTCTTGATCTGAAGTGAATTGTAGTAGATTGGAATACCACAGAGTAGGCACGTACACATCATCTGTTGATGAACCAGTCCTAGTTGACCGGCGTACTTTACACACCTCAGGTCTGTAGGAGTTCCGTAGGGACTCTTATTTTCTTTTTGAAATATGTTAAATCAGCTTCGAGAAAAATCCAGTCCCGTTACGTAGATGACGATATTTTAACGTATTCCAAGTTTCCGAAATTAGGTAGGTATGTTGAGATCAAACATACGTTGTTCATTAATTCATTACAATCTATTAAAGTCAAACTATAGGCGTCCCCACAGATAACCTCATAAGGGGGCTATATTAGCCATAGTTTCTACTTTTGACAGGCGGGCTGGCAACCGCAGTTTTTACTTTAGATCTAGTTGTTGTTAGGACGTCTTCTGGTTTCACTCTGTCGCCTTTTACTACACCCAGGGAATGGTAGTAGATATTCTTTCACCATCAATACTTATTGTTATTGAATACTTAAGTACGTATATGTGGTAGAGCTATGCTGCGGCTATATTAGTAGTATACCCGTAGTTGTAGCACGAATGGGTCGGTTGGACCGGGGAAGGACCACGCTTTCACAAAATACCAGCGTAAAATAGCAGCTTAACACTGCTGTTTCGTATGGTAAGCGTAAAGAACCGGAGACCCTCTTACAACCACCAACCAGTAGTACGCGAGCGCTGGCTGTTAAACGTTTTGTCTCCTATGAAATTAATCACCTGCGTAAATTACTTCCGGACGGATCTGTTTTTTACATTGTGAAATTAAGTAAGCGTAAGCCGTGAGCGATTTGTATCCGATATTTTACTCAAACCACAGAATAAATAATTGATCAAACAAGGAATATTTTAATATATTTATATGTCTTGGAAAATTCAATGAAAAATGTATTGGCCGGCACCTGAAATAATATATCAAATTACTTATTTTCGTTTACAGATACCAGACATAGAAGCAAGTTGGAAAGAGATAATTCATGGTTTTAATGATAAATGCGAACATAATAAATAATGGTATTTGGTATTTATTTTAATAAAATATCCCATTGAAATTGGTGATGTACTATTTTATTTAAACTTAATATTAATACCTATAAAAATAAATAACACTTAAAATCTAGTCATAATAATAAAACAATTTAAATCATTATTCAAACTAAATACAAAAAAAATCCATTAATTCCTTAATATTGTAGTAACCCTTTTTATACAATATTTGCTTAATAATTTTTTGAACTGGTCAGTGGCCGAAATTTGGTAAAATATTTAATTTAAATTACGAAAAAAGTAATAAATTATTGTTACGAGCTTAAGGTTCGAGATAATTAAAAACTGCCGAGTGAATTACCAAAATTGACTATTTAATTACACAACACTAATTACAACTTAAAATCACACTAATAAAACACAATCACTTTAGTTCGCAGTTATTTCGCTTCGAAGTATTCTCTTGTATCGCCAATTCAATACTGCCCCGGTCGTGGTCTATACCGGCCTTATATAGGGCCTCAGATAGTTTCCAGAACCTTCTACTGTAGCGACATCTAGAATGTACAAGTACATATCGGTCCCGAAATTTCTGGAAAGATCTCGACTCTCCTAGTTCTGCTACTCAACACTAGAGGGCGCTAGTGTAACTAGTGTTGCCATGTACAAGACATTAATAGTGGCGCGCAACACTGCCCCCTCCTAAGACATGCTCGTCCCGAGCATTATTGGCCCCATAATAACGCGCCAGTCGATCCACATAGACAATCTTAGGAGTACCTCTGGCACCTTTCTGTATCCGGTAGGTTAAGTCATTGATCCTTGTCAAAATCCGGTACGGTCCGTCCCATTTAGCTTGAAGCTTAGGAGATTTCCCTTTGTTGCGAACTGGATTGTGTAACCACACTAGTGAACCTTCATCAAACCCCTTGTTGATCATTTTGCGGTCATACCGTGTTTTCATCTTCTCAGACGTTTGCTGGCCCGTCTGTCTGACGTGCTCATAAATGTCATTCATTTTGTTCCGCAAGTCATTTGCATAATCGGTTATGCTGCGTGGGGCATCAGGTGGTATTCCGGTGATCAGGTCTGCAGGCAGCGGTAATTCTCTCCCAAAGTTTGCGAAAGCTGGCGTCACTGATGTACTTTCGTAAACAGCGCTTCGATATGACAACAAAAACGGTTGTATGTGCCTGTCCCAGTCTCGTTGCCGTTTTTCCACAACTTTTGCTAGGTACCTCTCCAATGTCTGATTAAATCTTTCTACCATTCCATCAGATTGTGGGTGGTAAGAAGTTGTTCGTGTTTTCTGAGTACCCATAACTCGGCAAGTTTCCTGGAATATTTGAGACTCAAAATTCCTTCCTTGATCGCTGTGAATCTCTAAAGGTACTCCAAAACGACAGAAGATTTCATGAACTAGTTTATGCAACTGTTGAAGCTTCTTGATTTGGAATGGCGAAGACTTCAGGCCACTTAGTGAAGTAATCCATCACAACCATGACATACTTGTTACCACTTTCAGTTTCTGGAAACGGCCCCGCAACGTCAATGGCTATCCTCTTCCATGGTGCACCAACATTATACAATTTCAATGCGCCTCTACTACGAATTTGTGGTCCCTTTACAGCCGCACAACTTGTACATTGCGGCACCAGTCCTCGACATCGTCACGACAGTGGACCCAGTAAAACCGTTCTCGGATCTTCACTAGAGTTCGTTTAACTCCCAGGTGGCCTCCTGAACAAACACTATGGTACAGCTGTAGAACATCCGGTACTTTAGCTTTAGGGACAACCATTTGCAAAAGACAACTGTCTTCCCGACCATTTTCCCATTTACGGCACAGGACTCCATCCTGAATCAGCAAGCTGTCCCATTGGGCCCAATAGCTTTTCGTAGTCGAACTCATCGCTGAGACGTCGCTCCACTTGGGCTTAGGAGCACTGGCCTTCATCCATTCCAGAATCGGCTTAATGTTCGAATCTTCGTGCTGTGCATGTTGTAGGCTATCCTTCCACTCATTGCTGAGCTGGTCTGTCCTGAGCATCCTCACAGATACCACTTCCTTACCCTCTTGCCTAGTACAATGCTTGCAATCTTCAGGGTAAGGTCTTCTTGACTATGCATCTGCATTGCCATGAGATTTCCCGCTCCGATGTTCGATTACAAAGTCGTATTCCTGCAGTAATTCAATCCATCTCGCAACTTGTTCTTCCGGATTTTTGAACTGAAATAGCCATTTCAGTGCAGCATGGTCAGTTCGTAAGTGGAATTTCCGCCCCAGAAGATATTTCATAGGTTCGAGCCACTATCCATGGAAGGTCGTTGTCTTCCCTTTCCACGAGTACACAACGAAGAGTTTGCCCAGGATTCCGAGGAAGTCTAACCGGCACAATCGTTTCCGATCTCGGCGGAAGAACAATCTTCTTAAGGCTATACACATTCCCTGGTAACGCCCCTTCCACGAAAAGTTCCTCTTGTCCACATTTCAAAACATCTTGCTTAGCGTCGATCTCACAACAATTCTTCCTCATAAAGTCTAGGCCCAGGATGCAGTCGTCCATTATATCAGCCACGATGACATTATGCAGGTAGATCATGTTGCCTAGCTTCAACTCCATCTCTTTCTCTCCACGGACGGGTATGCGCTGACCGGTGGCTGTCACCAAATTAATGCGTTCGTGGTTGTACGCGGAGTTCCCAAGGAACTGACTTATAAGTTGTGAACTGACAACCATGCGAGAGGCTCCAGTGTCTATGGTCAGTTTACACGGCTTTACGTTGACATCGCCCTTGAAGATCAGGCTGTTCCCATCACGGGTTTGTGAGATCGAAATCCTTGGGGCTCTTTTAACATCAGCCAGAACCCGCCAATTTCCCTGCTGCTGCTGGGTGGTGCTGTTAGCCACACTACCCTCTCGAGATCGATCACCTTCCCTTTCTACAGTTCGTTTAGGGCAGCTGGATCGAAGATGGCCCCTTTCCCCACAGCCGTAGCACCTAGGGCTGTAGCCGTTGTTGCGGTCCCGAACTGTAGCTCCTGCAACCTCCCTGACGCGGTGGGAACGATGATCCTGCCGCACGGCTTCCACCTCCAGTGCATGGGTCAAGGCGTCCTTAAGCGTCTCGTGGTGCCCGAGCCTCACAGCAGCTCTGACTTCAAGGTCGCGGATGCCGTCGATGAATGTCTGCACCTGGTTCCCTACAATGAGCGCAGGTACAGACTGGTATGCTTTTCGAACCAGTTTATCCACCTCAAGGGCCCACTGCTGCAGGTTTTCGTTACTGCGTTGCACGCGACCTTTGAGCTGCGCACGAAAGACGTTCCAGGTGAGCATCGCCGTATCTCGCCTCCCGCGCGTGTACTCGCGTGTTAAAGCCAAAATGATTAGGTAATGTCATTTTTATCTGTTATTACACACTTATAAATAGTGAAGAAGTAAGATGTTTTTTTTATGGAAGGATAATAAAACACATGTATACTTTTATTGTATTTGATATTGTCACTTATCATTTCAAAAGATTTTGTCTAAATAACTTGATGACAACATTGTCATTTATGATATTGGCAGGAATCACAAGGACATTTTCAATTATATGATATAAGACTGTTGTCTTCAATATCTATACTCTTTTTTGTCTGCCTATGGGCAGCTCTCCAAGCTTTTAGCTTGCAAGGCATACAGATAATATGTTCTCAGCGATCAACCTGAAAAAGTTAATGGCTATTGTAAAGAGTGTATTTAATATTAATTTTTATCAATATATTATATTTTCTATATTTATTTCTTTCTAAATAGCTTGTAGAGACTATGTTTATATATGTATTGCATTACATTTCAAATACTATAAACCCAAAAAAACGCGGTACGTAGACGACACTTTCACAATTCTACCTTTAGATAAAGTAACAGCATTTTTAAACCATCTTAACTCCTTAAATTCTAAAATTCAGTTCAGTCAATTCTTTAGCTTTTCTAGATGTGTTAGTAATTCGGAATCCTTATAACACCTTGAGCCACACTGTGTATAGAAAAAAGACCCATACAGATAGATATCAATAGCGAGTGCCTGCTGTACTGCCATATGTCAGAGGTGTCACTGACAAGATTGGCTAATCTTGAAGCGTGCTTCCATTAAAACATACTTCAAGCCACCGAAGAAGTTTGTCCGTTTTTTCCATCAGTCAAGTGTACAAGCTTGATTGTGAATTTGGTCTCTCTTATATAGGACAAACTAAAAGATCCATAAAAACCCGCGTTAAAGAATACATAGCTGATGTGAAGAATCGACGCTCCGGGAAGTCTGCAGTCTGTGAACACGTACAGGATCGTCCCCGTCACTACATTAGATGTGATAGACCACAAATCCTCGCTAAAGAAGACCGATTCCTTCCAAGGATGATTCGCGAAGCTATTGAAATCAAAAAACATCCTAATTTCAATAGAGAAGATGGCTGGGTGCTACCATCTGCTTGGGATCCCATAACTAATAAAATTAAATCCCAGCCCCAAGCATACAACTGCAAGACTTCATGATACTGTAAGTTCATACTGCGTAGATCGGAACAAAAATTAATAATTTTTAATTTGGAGGTAGCCATGGTTAACTATGACATTGGGACGTCATACATCTCAGTCCCTCCGTGACCATGGGTGCTGGAAAATGCTCGAAACGTTGGGAATGTAAAATAAGTTAATATACGCGATAAAATCCGTAAAATTAGTTTTATTTAAATGTGTAGTGTTCGCGTAAATATAAGAAATCATTAGTAAAAAATTGTTAAATAATAGCAGTAAACAGTAATAAAAAAAACATAATTACCACACAATAATGAGCCCCTTCTGGTAGATTTCCCATTTTACATGCAATACACGAGTTGGATACCGATTCATCGACTTTAAACTTTGGACTAGCATCAGTATTTGTTTCAATATTACTTTGGTTCATATCTTCTTTAGCAGCGTCTTCAGACAATAATTTCGCCGATAAAAGTAATTATCTACCATCAATATACTCTATGTATTTCGACAAACGTCTCTACACGAGGGATTGAGAGTTTTTCATTGGGCAACAAAATTGTCTTAATATTTTCAACGTGACCACTAGATGCTGGATTCCGACCATATCCTATTTTCAATAGAAAAACAAAACTCCATAAAGCTGACCACTTGAGAACCTCTAGTAGCTGCGTTGACATTTTCGGAAACCAATGAGGATTAATACCGATTCTTTTATTGATTTTTGTTTTTTTTTTTTCAGCTTTCTCATACTTTTTTTTCTCTCTGTCACGAAATTTAATAGGTTCAGCTTTACTTTTCGTTTTCTTACGGTAAAGGTCTAGATCATTTTCTAACTCAGAATCACTTGCATCACTTGATTCAGGTTGAATTAACCTTTTATAGTCGGACTCATGTAAAATAGACGCTATAAAATCCTTTTGTTTTTGGCATTTGGATAATCAGTTTTCATTTTGTTCTTGTACACCATCAGACTCACTGGAAGATATTACAAAAATCGCATATATTAATTTATCGAATCAATTTTCCTATACAAGCCAGATAGATTTTCTTTACTTCAACTTATGCAACATAACAAGGAGGACGTTCATTATTAAGGAATAAATCGGCATATTGATTAATTGTTTTAAAGGGCCTAAACGTTTTAATTGTAGCTGCAAGTAAAGCTTCAAATGCATCATACTCAACTTCTTTTGGAGACTCTACTCCACTTTGTAGACTCCATTCTGATAACCAGTCTGCAATGACTCTGGTCGTATGCATATCACTAATCATTTGAGCAACAGACGTATGAACAACATCTGACGTACTAATAACTGCAGCATATAGAAATAGGCCCACTACCAAATTCTTATATCAGTCTAGAGTTTTTTGATCACGAACATACCGATACTGGACAGGTCATAATGGGGTATAATACAAATGATTATACAATGGAATCTTTAGAACGAAGAAATATCAGAAACACGGCGCGAACAACTAAAATGATTAGACAAGAATTCTTGAATTATTATAACAATGAAGGTCAAGTTCCTTGGCAAAATAATTTTATTTAAATAAAAATAACTGTATTTCATAAATAATAAATATAAGTTTTATTACCTCCTCATCCAAATTGGACCGTGACTGTCGTGGTATAATTTGATCGTCCAAAAATTTCAATAGAGAATAGTACCACAGTTTCGATTCAGTCCTTGAACCTGATTTTGTTTAATCCACGACTTTTTTGTACTACTTTTTATATAAGAAGGAGCACTGGCGACATATACCTACCCAAAATGACCTTTGTTTTCTCTTTTGTCTTCTAGGAACACAAATCGCTATTGCTAGTAATTTAGCGAAAACCATTTCCACGTCTTACTGAAGCGAGGAACGAGACAAGAGTGATTTTAAAGCGTTCGTATTGTGACGATGCACTATTATTATTAATAAATAATTATAGAATTCAATGAAGACATTTTAAAATATCATAGATATAGTATTTTCTACTATTAAAATGCGTTAATAAGCATAAGGTTCAAATATATTCCTTTCGAACATTATTATACTACAATAAAGGCTTAATATTGTCTTTAAAAACCTTTAAATTTATTAAAACTGCTTAAAACATTCAAAATATGTTAAATAATAGAAGTACAAGTCGATTATATTACAAAAATAAACATAAATAACATTTAGCAGTTGGAAAAGGGGTCAATAATTTTTTAAGTTATGAGAGTGTTTTTGTGATACTACGTGTTCTTGTATTACTGGAAGGTGTTAATGTAATGCGAACTACAGACTAATGCTGATATATATCACGGGCTTGAGTGAATGTTGGTCGTGGTCCCCGACTGTGAGTGCTGCTGTTGTGTGGTCTTAGTATAGATGGGTGTTGGTTGAAGCGAAAGGTTAGAATTTGGTTGACTGAAATATGATTCAATGTTTGATGATTGGTTAGGCTGACTGATGTTTGTATTATGCGACCTGTTTCAGAAAAGGAGAATTATGTTTAACATTTGGATTTTGGCTAACATTTTGTTATCAT